TCATCCTTTGGAAAATGTGGGGACAGTGTTCAGTATAGGGGCCCCCAGCAGCTGTTGGCTCTCCGCAAGGCACAGAACCCCAGAGGACAGTACGGCCCTGAAACAATCAGTCCCCCTTGCCCCTGTCCTTACTCACCATTCTGGGGCTCCTGTGGGTTATGTGCGCTCACTTTGGGATGGGCACTGTACTTGTCTTTAAGTACGGCCGAATATTTGCTCTGTCTGGTGTGAACAATGCTGCCTCTGTTAAGTGTTGCACTTTGGCTTTACAGATGCAACTTTGAGATCCCAGCTGTCCTTTTTATCAACAGTCAGAAGACTGCAAAGAATCAGGAAGCGGCCGCGAATAACCAAAGAACTGAAAATCAAAAAGTACAGGACTGCCGGGAGAGGGAAAGGAAGCTCCACCAGCAGAATGCGGATCGCCGGCACCAAAGCACGGAGCGGCTGCTAAGCATCATGGAGCACCAAGCGGACTTGATACAGGCGCTTATAGCACTGCAGACAGAGCAGATCCACCCCCACCCCCCCAGGCAGCCCTTGTCCCAAAACTCTTTCCCTTGTGTCCCCATGTCACCGCCAACCCACTTCCCCCAACATCGAGTTTCCTATCGCCACCAGCTGCCTCCAACACCTGTAGCTTCACCACCCAGCCCTGCAAACTATGACCCTGACCCACTGCACTCAACCCCCATCACCATGCCTTTTAGCCAGCCTGAAGTGCAGCACTCATTGTGCGGCACTTCAGACAGGAAGGCTGAATATGATAACAGGACATACGCAAATCTATGATTGTCCCGTTCCCCACCCTCCCCTCTTCCCTCCTCCCACACAGTACAGATGTGTCATGCCCTTTCTGTTTCCCCAGCAGTTGTGTTTCTTTTCAATAAATGAATTTTTTGGCTTTAAAAACATTTTTATTGCATTAAGTAAAAGATACCATAACCCAGGAAAGCAACAGGCTCTGCAAGTCAGTGCATCATACGTAGCAAACACAGATGTCTACTAGCATTGGAACCACTGCACTTCACTCCTGTGCAGGGCACCAAACATTACTGGTGGCTTTCAGCCTCAAATTGCTCCCTCAAGGCATCCCTAATCCTTGCAGCCCTGCGCTGGGCCCCTCTAATAGCCCTGCTCTCTGGCTGATCAAATTCAACCTCCGGGTGTTGAACCTCTGTGGTCCATGCCGGTGTTGAACCTCTGTGGTCCATGCCTGAGTGAAGCTTTCACCCTTCCCTTCACAAATATTATGGAGGGTACATCATGCGGCTATAACCGTGGGGATGTTGTCATCAGCCAGGTCCAGCTTCCCATACAGACAGCGCCAGCGGCCCTTTAAACAGACAAAAGCACACTCAACAGTCATTCTGCACCGACTCGACCTGTTGTTGAACCGCTCCTTGTTGCTGTCAAGGCTCCCTGTGTAGGGTTCCGTGATCCACAGCATTAAAGGGTAAGCAGGATCTCCAAGGATCACAATGGGCATTTCGACTTCCCCTATGGTGATCTTCTGGCCTGGGAAGAAAGTCCCGGCTTGCAGCTTCCTGAACAGGCCTGTGTTCCGAAAGATGCGTGCATCATGCACATTTCCGGACCAGCCTGCGTTAATGTCCATGAAATGCCCATGGTGATCCACAAGTGCTTGGAGAACCACAGAGAAATACCCCTTCCGATTTATGTACTCAGAGGCTAGGTGGTCTGGTGCCAGAATTGGAATATGCATCCCATCTCTCGCCCCTCCACAGTTAGGGAAACCCATTTGTGCAAAGCCAGACACAATGTCATGCACGTTACCCTGAGTCACGGTTCTTCTGAGCAGGATGCGATTAATGGCCCTGCAAACTTGCATCAACACGATTCCAACGGTTGACTTTCCCACTCCAAACTGGTTAGTGACCAATTGGTAGCTGTCTGGAGTTGCCAGCTTCCAGATTGCAGTAGCCACCTGCTTCTCCACCGGCAGGGCAGCTCTCAATCTCATGTCCTTGTGCCATAGGGTGGGGGCGAGCTCAGCACACAGTCCCATGAAAGTGGCTTTCCTCATGCGAAAGTCCTGCAGCCACTGCTCGTCATCCCAGACTTGCATAATGATGTGATCCCACCACTCAATGCTTGTTTCCTGAGCCCAAAAGTGGCGTTCCACTGTGGTGAGCATGTCCATGAGTGCCACAAGCAATCTCATGTTGTTTGCGTTATGCGAGTCGACATCATCATCGGACTCCTCACTGTCAGTTTGTAGCTTAAGGAGTAACTCGACTGCCATTCGTGACGTGTTGGTGAGACCCATCAGCATACTCCTCAGTAGTTCGGGCTCCATTCTGGCAGACTGAAAGGGAAGACAGCGCGCGCAGTACAAAAAACATTGAAAGATGGCGCCAAATGTGGATGGAAGCACAGGGATTGCTGGGATGCGAAGCAATGCATCACGGGGCATTGGGACAGGACCCAGAATGCCCTGGACCCTCCCACCCCTTTCCCACAAGCCACAGCACCAGAATGGGAAGAGGTGCTCTGTGGGATAGCTGCCCATAATGCACTGCTCCCAATGTCATTGCAAGTGCCGCAAATGTGGCCACGCCAGTGCGCTTGCAGCTGAGAGTGTGAACACACGGCAGCGCTTTCCCTGCTGCAGTCTCAGAGGGATGGTTTAACTCAAAGCGCTCTACACCTGCAAGTGTAGCCATGCCCTTAGTGACCATAAACTAGATTTAGAAATTGGACATGTCTACACTATGGACTAAATCGGCACCACTGTGATCAATGCAGCGGTGTCAATTTAGCGGGTCTGGTGTAGACATGCTAACTCGTTAGGTAACTGAACTGGCCTAACTTAGATCAACTTACCTCGTTAGTGTTGACCAGCCCTTCACAGAATACTCTTGGGGGAATTCTGTGCCACTGGGCGTGCACAAAATTCAGGTCCCCCACAGATTTCTTTGATTCCTGCAGAAAAATGACTTCCTGACAGGGATGCAAAGGGAAGCTGCAAGAGCAGTTATGCACCACTCCCGAGCAGAGCAGGTACATCACTTCAGGCACCCAGCATCTGGCAAATCATTGTAGGGCTGGGGACACCCCAGCCACAAGCACTCCTTTTCTTCATACAGCTAAGGGTAGCCTAGAATTCCTCCTTACCTGTAAGGGGTTAAGAAGCTCAAATAACCTGGTTGGCACCTGACCAAAAAGACCAATGGGGAAAGAAGATACTTTCAAATCTTGGGGCGGGGGGGAAGGCTTTGTTGGGGTGTTCTCTGGGGAAAGCAGAGAAGCATCAGGTCAAAAACTCCTTCTCCTATAAACCATCCTGTACAAGTCTCTGATATTACACAAAGAGTAAGTAAATAAGGCAAGGCGCATTAGATTACCTTTTGTTTTCAACTTGTGAATTTTCCCTTTGCTAGAGGGAGGTTTATCCCAGTTTTTTGTAACTTTAAAGTTTTGCCTAGAGGGGAAGCCTCTGTGTTTTGAATCTGATTACCCTGTAAAGTATTTACCATCCTGATTTTACAGAGGTGATTCTTTTACCTTTTCTTTAAATAAAATTCTTCTTTTAAGAATCTGATTGATTTTTCATTGTTCTTAAGATCCAAGGGTTTGGGTCTGTGTTCACCTGTACCAATTGGTGAGGATATTATTCTCAAGCCTTCCCCAGGAAAGGGGGTGTAGGGCTTGGGAGAATATTTTGGGGGAATAGAACTCCCAAGTGGTCCTTTCCCTGGTTGTCTAAATCACTTGGTGGTGGCAGCATAGTGTTCAAGTACAAGGCAGAATTTGTACCTTAGGAAAGTTTTTAACCTTTAAACTTTAACCTTTAAGTTTTTCCCACAGTACCCTTGCCAGCAAGTTAAAGAAGTATGGATTGGATGAATAGACTATAAGGTGGATAGAAAGCTGGCTAGATCATCGGGCTCAATGGATAGTGATCAACAGTTTGATGTCTAGTTGGCAGCCAGTATCAAGCGGAGTGCCCCAGAGGTTGGTTCTGGGACCGGTTTTGTTCAGCATCTTTATTAATGATCTGGAGGATGGCGTGGATTGCACCCTCAGCAAGTTTACAGATGACACTAAACTGGGAGGAGTGGTAGATACGCTGGAGGGCAGGGATAGGATACAGAGGGACCTAGACAAATTGGAGGATTGGGTCAAAAGAAATCTGATGAGGTTCAACAAGGATAAGTGCAGGGTCCTGCACTTAGGACGGAAGAATCCCATGCACCGCTACAGACTAGGGACCGAATGGCTAGGCAGCAGTTCTGCGGAAAAGGACCTAGGGGTTACAGTGGACGAGAAGCTGGATATGAGTCAGCAGTGTGCCCTTGTTGCCAAGAAGGCCAATGGCATTTTGGGATGTATAAGTAGGGGCATTGCCAGCAGATCGAGGGACGTGATCGTTCCCCTCTATTCGACATTGGTGAGGCCTCATCTGGAGTACTGTGTCCAGTTTTGGGCCCCACACTTCAAGAAGGATGTGGATAAATTGGAGAGAGTCCAGCGAAGGGCAACAAAAATGATTAGGGGTCTGGAACACATGAGTTATGAGGAGAGGCTGAGGGAGCTGGGATTGTTTAGCCTGCAGAAGAGAAGAATGAGGGGGGATTTGATAGCTGCTTTCAACTACCTGAGAGGGGGTCCACAGAGGGTGGATCTGGACTGTTCTCAATGGTGGCTGACGAAGGACGGAGGAGCAAGGGGCTCAGGTTGCCGAGGGGGGGCTGGGTATCAGGAGGGGGAGAAGCCCTGGCAGGGGGTCCCTGGGGGGTGGAACCTGCTCCCCCGGAGGTGTTTGAGGCTTGACAAGCCCTGGCTGGGATGACGTAGTGGGGGTTGGTGCTGCCGGGGGGGGACCGGAAGCTCCTGAGGGCCCCGCCAACCCCGATCGCCTCCGATTCCTCTGGCCCCCTCCTGCTGCGCCTCTCCCCCGCCCCCCCTCCCGCGGCCCCGCCCCACCCCCCCTCCCGCGGCCCCGCCCCCGCGCCCCGGAAGCGCTCCCCCCCCAGCTCACTTCCGCTGGGCCGGCGGCAGCTGCAGAGACCGAGGCCCGGGCCGCGCGGAGGGAGCGGCCGGAGCCCGAGAGCAGACCCGCGACTGGTAGGGAGCGAGCTGGGGTCCCAGTGCCCGCCCGGCGTCCGTACTGCCCCCCCCGGCCCGCCATTGCCCTGCTGGGTCCCCCCTGCCCCGTGACCCCCCGGCCCGGCTTCCGTACTGGCCCCCCGCCGGCCTGCTGCGTCCCCGCTCCCCCCCCCCCCAGCGCTGTCACCCCCCGGCCCGGCTTCCGTACTGCCCCCCCCCCCCCCGGCCCGCCATTGCCCTGCTGGGTGCCCCGTGATCCCCCGGCCCGGCTTCCGTACTGCCCCCCTGCTGGGTCCCCCGCCCCCCCTCGAGCGCTGTGACCCCCCCCGGCCCGGCGTCCGTACTGCCCCCCCCCGGCCCGCCATTGCCCTGCTGGGTCCCCCCTGCCCCGTGACCCCCCGGCCCGGCTTCCGTACTGCCCCCCCCCCGGCCTGCTGCGTCCCCAGCTCCCCCCAGCGCTGTAACCCCCCCCCGGCCCGGCTTCCGTACTGCCCCCCCGCCGGCCTGGCTTCTGTACTGCCCCCCCTGCTGGGTTCCCCCCAGCGCTGTGACCCCCTCAGCCCTGCGCCCCCCCACTTCCCCCAGCGCTGTGACCCCCCCCATCCCGGCCTGGCACCCGCATTGCCCTGCTCTGCTCCTTGGCTCTGTGCCTCCCCCAGTCCCTCTCCCCCCAGCGCTGCCACCGCCTTGAGCCTGGCCCCTGCCCTGCTCTGCCCCCCCAGCCCGAGTGCTGCAACCGTCCTGGGCCTCACAGCCGCCCTGCCCTGCTCCTACCCACTCTCCTGGCCCAGGTGGATTTGCTTTAGGAGAGCCCTGCTGAGCCCAGGAGCTCTGTGCGGGCTCACGCCTGCTCCTGCTGGGCTAGGTGACTGGGATCCAGGGTTCCCATGTCCGGCGGGCTTGTCAGCTGGGGTCCCCAGCCCCAAAGAGGCATTGGAGCCAGGGCTCTCATCTGTGGTTTTAAACACCTGTTGATTTTTTTTCTGGTGTCCTATGTTGTTTCTGAATGGTCCCTGCCCTGGGAAAACTGACCACAGGGGATCTTGCCAGCGGGGTGAGTTGGGTTTAGGTGCCTTGTTTATAAATATGGTTCAGTTAACCAGCAAAGTAGCTTCTGTTTAAGGCTTGTCTTTTCCCTTAAATAAGAAACACAAAGCAGTTTCTCGCTGACAAGTAATCAAGGCCTGCTGCATATTTAATACACATCTGTGGCCTGTGAAGGAAATCCTTCAAAAGGGTAGGGATATTTCCATGTAATAAATGGCCTCTCTTCACTTACACTGTAGAATGCATGTGCCACCTCCCATTCTGCTCCTGTGTGTGTGTAAGCAGTGGGACAGTCTTGTTCTGTTACTTCCACCTCTTCTCTCCACAAGCCCAAATTGACATGGCACTTGCATGTGAAACTTCAAGCTAGAAGTTGATTTTTGCAAACTGATCTCCTAAATATCTTGAGGCTTCCATTTTGTGGAAAGCGACATTTTGAAGATGCAGAAACTAATCTTTTAAGTAAATAAGTCGGCACTTGGTATTTTCACAAAATTATTTAAATTCACATTTGCATAGGTGCTCTGATATGGGCACAGTAAAAAGGCCTGGATGGACACTTGGGTCTACTCTTAGCGTTCAGACACTCCTTTTGTACTGACTCTTCCTCTGATAATGAACAAAATCCTTGAGGTTTTTGTAAGGATCCAGCTTTATGTGGGTGTTTAGAATCAGCTGACACCTTTGCTTCCTGCATAGGAGCTGAGTCTCTATTGCAGCAACAGAGGTGTGTCACTTCTCCACCATTGAATGAAGCCTATGACATGAATTGTTCATTTTATGTTGGCATTAACATTCATGCTTCCATTCCGCACGGCGCTTAGTTAGGCTAGGATCAGGTGCTGTGGGAATGCATTTTTTCTGACTGGTTGCTGTGTTGGAGTGGCTATGGGTATGTCCACACCATGGAGACAATGCTGGCATAGCCCTGTAGTGTAGACACAGCCATACTAACCAAAGGGGTTTTTCTGTAGGTATAGGAACACACACACGCACACACACACAAACCCCTGAATGAAGCTGGCATCGTCAATGGAACCCCTCTTCATAGCTTTGTCTACACTGATTGGTATAGCTATGGTGGTCGGCTGTGGGTTTTTTCACACTCCTGTAGCTTTACACACAATGTAGCTTTGCTGATATAACTTGTCAGTGTAGACTGACAGTTACAATTGGGTTAAAAATGCTGGCATCTGATAGATCACTAACCTCCACGTTGAGTGGAAAAAGATTTAAATTGACTATCTAAACTAAAAACATAATAACGTTGGAAGGCAGTGCCTTCCAAATACCTTAATTTTAAATTGGATTAATTGTTGTAAGCGGTTGAATATGCTCTGGAGTAGTGTGGGTAAGTGTATTGCAAAGTGGCTCTTGAAGAGGCCTCATGCTCTTTGTCCCATCTACACCAAAGTATTACAGTGCAGCCTCAAGCAGTTAGAGTAGGACAATATTTTGTGCAATATGAACTTTATTTGTCAATCCAAAATAAAACAGATGCAACTTGACTCAGCAGTAAGTTACATATTGAATTATTTTATATATAATGTGGATTTTTTCCCCCTTTCTTGACTCCGGGTTATAGACCTAGACTTCAGGCTTTGTGGAACTGTCGTCATCATTGTGCAGTAGATAACAGTAACTCCACAGTTAATACTGCAGGAGCCATTCTCTTTCAAACCTTATTCCCATGCTTAATTTTCTCAGGGAAAAGTAATCCTATATGGGTGAAATTTAAGGAAACTGGTGTTCTTCCTTCTTCTCATCTTCTCAACATATAAAACATCTTGTTTTGGAGGTGCTGATGTGTGCATCTGCTCATTTCTGTCAGCAGGATTGGCAGAATTTGATTTTTTTATTTGTTTATCATTTCAACAGATTATAGCAGTGTTTATTTTTAAGCATTTATTTAAATTCTCACAGTTGTGGGAAATTATGGCAGGGGGTCAGGCAATTATTTAATGACATGTTAAGATTCAAAAAGTTGAAGTTTGTAAACAGTTGAAGCACATTGTGGACATTGTAAATATTCTAAAATCAACAAATCATACCTGTTTTTACTTTTCATTTGCAAGAAGCCTAATTTAAAAGTCTAAATCACTGGTTTGAGACTGAGTTCTCAGGCAGTATATTTCTTTCTTTTCCTATATGTAAGTTTATTGATAGAAATATTTTGATGTTGGTTTGTGAGTGTGTACAGGGTGAAGTCAGCACTTACTAATAATCTAATCCTTCCAAGCCTATCTATCCATCCCCAGTGAGTACGAGCTTTGTGTGTTGCTGGCTGTCAACTGTCCATCTGGAGTATGGCTTTGTAGTTAAAAAGGAGGTTGCATAAACTATTGGAAATGCTGCCTTAGTGTGACCAAAACATTCTGTTGTGATGTGGGTTTTCAGCTAGGCTGAAACGTCTGTCTGTTATCCAGAGGTTGAAGATGAGTGTTCTAGTTATGGCACTAACAAAGGGTGCTGTGAGTGTCTATCTCCCTCTGAGGCTGTCTCTACATTTACTCTTTAAAATTCTTCCAGTTGCTTCTACCAGTGCAGCCCCTCTGGTGGGAGCAATGTTAGCTCTAGTGTAGACTGGCTGGTGTTTTGACCACTGTATCATCTAACCTTGATCAGAGCAGTTCCAGACAACAGTGATTAAAAGTGCCAGAAGCCTTCCATGTACTAACTATACTCACTCAAGGTTTCCTCACTGGTGAAAGAGTGTGAGTGTATAAAAGCGGCTAGTGTAGCCACGCCCTAAGAGAGCATGAGCGATCTCAGCACATCATTAGAGCTTAGGGATCTGGGTTCAGAGTTATGGAATTTCTAGGCAATCCCCTAGATCTGGATATAGCGAAGCATTTGGGCAAGTATTTCTGGCTTCATTTATGCAATTGCTGGTGGATATTATAGTCCATATATTAATTTATATCCATGTACACATTTATGTTGTTTTCATGGCTTATTGCCTCATTGCGCTAGAATTTCCACTCCATTTCCCCCCTCCATTTCTTATAGCTAATCTGTTTTCCTTTTGTTTTCAAATGGTATATTCAAGAAGTTGGCTATGAAAAAGGATTTTTGTTTTTCAGTGTGGGTGTCCTGTCCGTTTAACATGGAATCAAATGTGCCTTTATTGACAGATCCAAGCATTAGGTGCAAGGGATATTGTGTTCTTTATTAATAAAATCTATTGGATCAAAACCTAGTCAATCCAAGAAATTCTGTATCCTAAATATTTCAGAGCCAACACTAAAGGAACACTGCCAACGCAAAATTTAGTTAGTTTTTGAAACTGAGGCCTGGTCTACACTAAACAGTAGGTCAACCTAAAGGCAGCTTATGTCAACCTGATTATGTCAGGGTACACACTACAGCTTTGTCCCGCCGGTGTAAGTGCAGTACTGCACCGACATAATAACTCCACCTCCACGAGGGGCATAGCTCTCGCTGGTTTAGTTAGGGTGACAGTGTCTGTGCAGACACTGCATTACAGTAGAACCCAGAATTATAAAATGACTGGTCATCCACACACCTCATTTGGAACTGTAAGTATGCAATCAGGCAGCAGCAGAGATGGGGGGAACAATCAAATACAGTACTGTTAAACGTAACCTACTAAAAAAAATTAAGGGAAGGCAGCGTTTTTCTTCTGCGTAGTAAAGTTACAAAGCAGTATTAAGTCACTGTTCAGTTGTAAACTTTTGAAAGACCAACCATAATATTTTGTTCAGAGTTACGAACAACCTCCATTCCGGGTTCCTAACTCTGTGGTTCTACTGTACTTACATTCCCTATTGGCTGTCTCGTCAATTTCAGCCTCCATACTGGAGCCATGAAATTGACAAGAGAGCTGGGCAGCTAGAGCCTGGCTGCTGCCCAGGAAGTCCAGGTGGCTGCCCCTTGCTCCCAGCTGTGAGCAGGGAGGCGAAGTAATTACTGCGGTTGGCTGCAGGTTGACCTAACACTGATCGACTTAA